TTCTTATCCTGTTACTTGCTGTGCTCAGTTTTCATAAATGTCCATTTCCTAGGTACATGTACACATTAAGATCAACCTGTGCACTGTTGTTGGCAGTTTTCCTTCACATTTTTTATTCATATTTTATAACATGTTACTTACATGTACATGTATTGCCCATAATTGTTTATTTGCTCTCCCATTTCACTAGTCCTACACAGACTTTCTGTATAACGCTGATTGAGTGAATGACTCTGTGAAATCTCCAGGCGAGAGTTACCATGTTTAATTATGTGCTATTACGTCAATTAATTATAATAGAGTATGGAATTTGAAAAGACTGATTTTGCTTGCATGGGGCTTTGCTCGTATTGCCTACCAGTGCGTGTTAATCGTGTAAACGCGTTGTGTAACAGTTTTTAAGTGTTTAAGGAAAATTAAGACTGTATGACACGACAGTCAGATGCGAATAATTTTGTTGTCTATTTTGCCAAGTTTATAGTTCTTGTCCTCATGGCCATTACTAGCAAAAGCTGGAGAACTTAACTTGATGAAATGGTACTAACTAAACAGTGTTGACCTTTTGGTCAGTCGACCTCCGGGATGCATATCTTCACATTTCCATCCACAAGGCGGATCGCAAGTTTCTCTGCTTCATGTTCAAGGGTCAAGTCTACGAATTTTGGGCCCTGCCATTCGGCCTTTCGACATCCCCCAGGGTCTTCAACCTGGTTGCGAAGACTGTCGCCGCCCATCTACGCCAGCTGGATGTGCTGATCTTCCAGTATCTGAACAACTGGCTGATTGTAGGTTGTACTTTACAGGAGGCCGTAGCATCAACTCGTCTAACCTATGACCTTTCTTCTCGCCTGGCAGGGGTGTGATTTGTCTGGATTTTTCCGGATTTCCTGTGAGACTATCCGGATTCTTTGAGACTTTCCCGATTTCCGTATTGTCAGTGCTTTCAATATGTAACGCAAAGACTACAATATTTGGTGAGAAACTAAACAAAAGACTTGCACAAGTTTAGGTGTATAGCATGCGCTTTTGCATTGTTACCCCCCCTGCAAATGCACCAGATACATGTACATAGGTAATAGTGCATTGAACGGAGGGGTACACATGTCATTGTTAAAACATAGGGACCCAGGCCTGCGGTATGATCGTTGTGTGTATGTACATGTATGCATGGTACACGTGTTGTCCTTGCATGCACTGTGTACAACTTGCATCCGTCTGCCATTGTGTTTCGTTTCGTTCTCGTGGTGGTCTGATGTCGTTGACGTCCATCAAAAATGTCATACAAGGTAGTAGGTAGGAAAGGGGATCTGAATGTAGACAAAGGATTAAAGAATTTTTGGAAATTTTCCTGGCTGGAAACCGAAGTGGACAGAGAATTAGCCAAGGGGAAATCGATACATGTACATGTATATTATCATGACTTTCTTGTGAAAATCGACAAACCTCGTGGTGTCACGAGTAATGCAGTACTCATCTGAATGAGACCGTTTTTAGTTTTAATATATTGTGATAGAATTTTGTGAATCACTGATAACTGCGTGTGTGTGTGTATTACACTTCTAGGTCTTTGATTGTCACCAATTATAGCTTACATGTACATGTATAATTGCAATTGAAGTGAATGAGGACAAGGCAAAGCCACGCGATGGCTGGAGGAAACTGGGTTGAGCGAAAAAGGGATACGCACTCCCGGAGATTGGCGATGCAATCGGCCGTTTACATGTAAATGTAAATGTTATAATTGTATCCCTCAAAGTAAGAACAGCTCTTGTTGTGGCTTACAGTGTATATGTAGTATCTGAATCTCCTCCTATAATCAAATAGATATGCCGCGAATTGTAGGGAAGCTGTGGCCGATGCGACTTGCAAAACCCTCTGACGAATATTTCTTGGATTTTCATTTTCCCAAAATCAAGAAAAATCAAGACTGTCTCCGTCTCAGTCCCCGACTTACCTAGGGGCAGAACTCGATCTCTGCATGTGCATTATCACCCAGACGGCCGATTGCATCGCCAATCTCCGGGAGTGCGTATCCCTTTTTCGCTCAACCCAGTTTCCTCCAGCCATCGTGTGGCTTTGCCTCCTCAGGTTGATGGCGAATATGGTCAACCTGATACCATGGTGCAGGCTTTGCATGAGACCTCTTCAACTTCATCTGCTCTCCTCTTATTGGCCCAAACGGGATCCAATCAGTCATATGGTTCCCATATCGGACGACATTCAACATCATCTGCTTTGGTGGTTAGAGGAATGTCATTTGATCACCTGTCTACCATTCCTGCGGCCAAAACCGGCCGTAGTAATAACAACTGAAGCATCATCTCGCGGCTGGGGGCCTCCCTCCCTCCTCATCAGGTCTTGGAAACCTGGCCCTGTGCCTTCCAGGTAAACCGCATCAACTTCTTGGAGCTTCAGGCGATATTCCATACTCTGCAATGCTTCCTACCGCTCGGACAATTCTACAGCTGTGGCGTACATCAATCATCAGAGCGGCACTCGATCCCCAAGCTGTGCACCCTCATCTTGAAGGTCCTATAGTGGACGGGGGAACATGCAGTCAACCTGCAAGCCTTCTACATCCGCGGCCCCGACAACACGATAGCATAGCTCTCTCCCACAGTAAAATACTCCCAACAGAATGAACTTTCCATCCAGAGGTCGTCAAGACCCTTTTCATGATGTTAGAGAGGCCTCACATTGATCTCTTTGCTTCTCCCACCAACGCCCAACTTCCGACCTTCTGAACAAGATCTCTGCACCCCCCAAGTTTGTGCCACGGACTCCCTGCAAATCGACTGGTCGGGCATTCTAGGGTACGCCTTTCCGCCCATCTCACTGATCCTGACGGTTATCTCCAAAATCGAGCGTGAACACTGTCGGATACTCCTAGTTGCCCGTTCTGGCCACGCCAGCCCTGGTTCTCTAGACTATCGAGGCTCTTGGTTCATAGACCCCTAGTCCTTCCTGACAGACCAGACATCCTTCACCAGCCCAAACCTGGGATTCTACATCCAGCACCAAGGGATCTACACTTAACCTGTTGGATGTTGTTGAACGATCCTTCTGCTTGGCGGGACTTTCTAGCCATGCAGCAGCCATGGCCGCACTGGAAAGACGTTTATCCACCCGCAAAGTTTACGATAGCAGAATCCGGCATTCGCCAAGGAGTCATTGCAAATCTCGTCCGGAATAAGTTGAGGATAAACTGTGGAAGAGTGTTGCGGTGGAATGTTGAAGGCTACTGGAAATTTCCCCACAATCTCCCCGAAGTAAAGCTATCAGCATTTGTACACACAGTTTCCATCCCCCCCCCTCCACTCTGCGGGTTTTGGTCGGGTAGGCCACTCAGGGACACATTTGGTTTTGATGACAGACAAGCCACAGGCAAAGGACTGCACTCCTTACTCAGAGCTTTTTGAAACTTCTCTTACTGTATCATTTGGAATAAATGTACATATGTACATCAACCCTTTCATAAAATATAAAGCTGCTTCTGGTTTTTTCTTCTCCTGGAAAGCTATGGTCTTACTTCAGGCAAATACAACTTTATTGTATTTAATATGGCAATGTAACTGCACAAAAGACATTTACAAGAAGAGATAGGGTACTGGCCCTGTATTTCAATAAATCTTCCTGTAATGTCTTTTTTCTTAGCCCAAAAACCATGGCGTAATATGCAGAAAGTTAAACCATATTGTTGCTTTGCATTTTATTATCTCTTGATGTGAAATACTGAAGATCTGTTATTACAATCATGTTTGGACAATTCAAAAATATTATAGTAAACACTTCCAGTTTGGAATGCAGAAGTGCGTGGATATGGAGGTACATGGGGCAGAGGTAACACAACTTGTACATTTAACAAGCAAATGAAGCAAAATAAGCAGAGGGACTGACACCGTCTGTAAGTTTTTCCGAACAACCTTCTGATTCAATCCACAACAGGTATTGAACACATGACAAAAAATCATGTTGTGTTGAGTGACCCAAGGTCAGTCTCTGGAAACTGCAAACCACTTAAGATAGTAACCTCCTATTACAAGCCCACTGGTAATTTAAACAGTCCTTCATATAGTAAGTGACCTACTGATGCAAAATTCCTCCACAACTTCCCCTCAATAAATGAACTGCTACTTGCAGGGAAATTGTGGGGAAAGTATTCACTCTCCTCACAATTTTACTGCAACTTGTCCCGGACGAGATTTGAGATGACTCCTAAGCGGTGCAAAGAATAGGCTTTGACTCCAACCGACGCTCCTCTGAGCACTATCACCGACTTCCTGTTGCACTTATTCAAGTCGGGACTCCAGGTCTCTATGATTCGTAATTACAGGTCAGCCCTTGCTGCTATCCATAGTAGCTTTGAAGATGGCTCCAACATTTCCAACAGCCTGGTACTGCACCACCTGTTACTCAGAATGTTCATAGAACGTCCTGAACGTCGTGAAGGTTCTCCACATGCTGGACTGTCCTCCCTTCGAACCCTTGAGTAATGCGACCCTTCTGCACGCTAGTACTAAGCTGGCCTTTTTCCTAGCGGTGGCTACATCTAGGAAAGGCTGTGAATTACAATCTCTGTCGCTGGCAAACGGTCACTTACGCTGGGAGCCTCACAGAGTCTGCCTCATCCCCGCTGTCGGTTTTCTAACCAAAAACCAGACTCCCTCCTGTGAGCCCCTCAGACACCTTTGTACCTGAGATCTCCTCGCACTCTGGGGATAATGCTGATAAACTCTGGTGTCCGGTTCGTACCCTGAAGTGGTACTTGGCCGAAGCTAAGGGTCTCAGAGGATCCACAACTCAAGTATTCATCACCTCTACATGTCCATATCGCCCAGCAGCAAGAGACACGATAGCTTGCTAGATGGTTTCAGCCATCAACTTTGCTAATCCAGATTGGCCTTCACAACCTGATGAGCAAGGTAAATACTAAGTCAGGGCTCATGACGTTAGAGCAGTTTCTACTTCATGGTCTTACTTTTGGGGTGTTCCTATTGCAGACATATGGAAAGCTGCATGCTGGAAGTCTCCCTCAACTTTCGCATCCTGCTACCTGAAGGAGGTTCTGCAAAATGACTCTGTACAGGCAGGACGGTCTTACTGCCCACAGTACAAGCTCCTGCAGTAAGGGCGGATAGCAACGCATCGAAAGAATCCTGTAAGGGTGAGTTAAGTTCTTACTTATCATGTGAGTTTCTCATTGACGTTGATGTATTTGCCTGCCTGTGGTTACATGGGCTCTTATCTGTCTACATGTAGTTTGTTGTATGCTCAGTAGCTAACCCTCCACCCCCACTCTGCATATGTAGTGACTGTTTTGGTAGGTAGAGTGCCGTAGACTCCTCCCCCACAATAACTGTGTGGGTCAGGTCTACTAGAGAATACTTCAAACAGTCCTCTCCCGCCCATCCTCCCCACCAGGCTACAATATTTTCAGTCGCTTTCGAAAAGAAGGATGAACATGGCGGTGAGACAGCTGTGCATAGTGGGAGGTCAAAGGGCATCTTGGATGATAAAAGTCTTTTCAGCGAATAGCTATATGCACATGGGAAATTTGCATATAACGTGACTGTTTGGGTAGGTATTCTTTAGTAGACCCGAGCCACACAGTTAATGTGGGGGAGGAAATTACCTGACCTGAAAGAGAAATATCCTGCCAAAAACTGACTGATCACTTCTGAAAATCTAAAGTACATGAAGAACAGTCCGATGCAGCGGTCTCTTATGCCATGCTTATGCAGATGAACATTTACGGTTTGAAATTTTATGGAAGTCTTTAGGCATGGTAAAAGCCAATAAAACAGTAGATCAAAATATTTCACAAACTGTTTTGATTTATAAGGTAATAAACTTAAAGCAATAATCAACTCTCACGAAAAATTCTAATATTTATTTAACCTTTGCTGACAACTGCGTTGTGTAAAATCAATGGACCATGGAAGCCATCGACTACATGCGGGCAAATCTTTGTGAAGTTTTACAATCTCATTTTCACATAAGCACGGGGAGTGAAAACAAATGTGCATGAACAAGGAGACCTCAAAAAAACTTCTTGCCCAATGCGCTTTTTAAAAAGAACTTGCCAAAAAAAGAGGTTGTGATTTAATACCTGTTCAAAAACAGCACTGAAAATGGACATGAGCCATGTAATTTTGCCCAAACATCAAAGTAGCAATCGACTACCGAAATCCACGGTACAGCAACGAGCGGTACGTATACAATGTAGATGTACCGCAACGGAGTGCAGACCTGCCAAGCTGTATGCATTTTGAATACCATGTACGCATTTTGAATACCATGTACGCATTTTGAATACCATGTACGCATTTTGACATCCAAGTATGCTGGTATGAGATCTAACGCAAAAAGTACGCAATATAGCGCAAAGATGTCAAATCTGTATTTATAGAGACCAAATGACCAACAGAGGGTGCACTTGTAAGCCAGCTTGCAAAAATAATGATTGGTTCCTTGACTCCCATATGACACAATACAGTTAAAAGCATTTTAACCGCAAAGAACCACACTCATTTCGGGGGCACAGAGCCAAATCGGCTGTCTAGGGCTAGGTCTAGGCCTGCGCCCATTGAAAATATGTGGGGACATGCTGACGTAGCCGTAGCTCTGAAAGCATGTTTTGGTGTGACACCGGCTGCATGTCACACAGCTACTCGGGCCCAATGCATGTGTCGTCGCCGCCGCCGCTGTGTTTAGGCCATAGTTTTGTGGGCAACATGGACGCCAATCAGTGTCAGTGTCAGATTCGGATCGTACAGATGGGGAAAGCACTCCCCCACCTGAAAAGAAAGTGAGATTACATGCTCCAAAGAAGTTTCTTGCTAGTTATAAAAAGTTATGAGGCCAAGCTTTCAAATGCAACGGCTAAAACAGCTGATGGTACAGTGTACATGTAGGTGAAACAAATTTCATTACAGAGTGAATACATAACGGCAGATTTGAAAGTATGCAGAATGTTTAAGCACCTCACTTTATACAGAAATGACTTTATCATTGAAAATTTATTCAGTAAATCCATGAAGTACAGTCAAACTTTGTTAATAAGAGCACTGTTAATACAAGAGTCCTGTTATAACTGTACTCTTTTTTTTTGAATGGATAACAGCATTTTATATGAAATCTGAGAACGACTTAGTGCTCTGGCAAAATTCTATCACAACATGTAAATACATGTACTATGATTTTGACCAAACGAAAGAGAAGTTTTTTTGGCCCCTGCTGTGTGCACCAAGTCTCATCGTGCGCTGAAGCGCTGCTATACTCCGCCTGGCAAAATCATTTTTGTTTCCTCCAGAGTGGCCTTTGATCAAACACAAGTCCAACTACGATCAGCATCCAATCAAAATTTGTTTTGCACGTTCATTCATTGGCCTAATATGGAACGTAAGGGCGTGAATATTTGAGATTGGTATACATAGTGTCGGTCTGAATATGCAAGCCCACAGTTGGATGTAGTGAGAATTTAGTAATGTTCTACAGCTGAAATGCTGTACCTTGCATGTTCTTGGGTGGTTAATAGTGAATTCTCACCACGTGCATTTTACACCATCATGTGATCTGGGGCCATTGCAAATTTAAAGTGCATATCCGCTATACGCACCACTGTACTCGCACATCTGCCGAGCGCGGATGTGGCATATAAAGCACTGAAACTCGTTTTCCATTTTTCGTTGTGTTGCGTTTTTTAATCAAGTTTTCTCAAGTACATGCCGTTTGCTATCGATACCATGCCATATCAAAGCCGAACATCCAAACCGACCAGTGCATGTGGTTCAGTTTGGTTCGATTTGAAAGTGCCATGTTCTATGATTTTGGGCTCAATCCTGCAGTTTGGCTGCAGCACTAGCTGTCGCTCTCGAAAGGTGGTTTAGCCGCTGGTCCCTTTTCACATGACTGGGTGTTTGTAGGCATATCTCATGCTCATAAAACTCAAGTTGGAACAAGCCCTGTAATTGTTCTGATGGCAGCACGTTTTTATGCTGTGACTTATTTTATGGTTGTCTATCAGCTTTCTGCCCTGCGCTGGGGTGTGTAAGCCTATGGGATTTGTAAGATCTTTGAAATACATGTACATGCACCTTACTGTAAAGTACATGTAAGTACATAATAGTGTCAGACAATCCGTGAAATCTTACTACCAGAAATCCTGTTATTTTTGAAAAATATTGCAACCATTAACAGGAGCTGTTGTCAAGAGTCTATAGATATTAATAGGTCGTGCAAAATGCCAAAGCGCCATCGGTACACCTAAAGTCATTATTAACTGATAAAATGAATGGAAGAACCATAACTAACGATCTAAAAGAGAATTTGGACTGGTCTGAAATTAAACTTATTTATGAAACTTTGGAAGCTTACCTCACGTAAATTATATTATCTCGGTATCATCCCTCAAGATAATGGTATAGTCCAAATCAGTTATGACGAGCTCCGGGACCAGTTTTTCTCAAACATAATCTCCATTATCGAGACACTTAGCTTTCTAATTTTCAAATTACACACAACACCGCACAATCTGGGCTCTGTTTACAAGGCTGCAGGCCTGGTTGAAATACTCAGGTGTCAATGAAGGTCACCTGTCAACTTAGGGTAATGCCTAAAGATTACTCCGTGCGGCTATAAACGACCGTTAAATGAAATGATGAATTTTTGAAGGATTTTGAATACGGAAAAAATTATAGTCATGCCGGCCTAGCATCATCAACTTGGAAAAATGTCCCGGCATGAAGTGGTTAACGATGGGTGCTGATGGTGTGTATGTGAACAGTTTTTGACTAACATAGGCAGGCCTACCCGTGAAAAGCATAAAAGTATATGAACGTGGTCAAATGTGCACGTGTACATGTGGTTGCTGTGGACACTGTGGTACTGCAGCAGTCAACTCACTGATGGATGGATGAATTGTTGTTGGACAATTCTCAGCGTTTCGTTGTTGAAGATGAAACACAAAGTTGAAGGTAAATTTGCCAACCACAATTACTATGAAAAGCAAAGGAAAAGAATCTTTCTTAAGGGCCACATTGACCTCATCTGTGAACTGCCCTGGCAGACAGGAACGTCCTAGTGTTTTGCAAGACAAATTAAATGAGCTGTGGTTTTAAGTTGGCAGCCAATCGGCATTTTGTCTTGCTCTAACTGGAAGTCAACCGGTCTGTCAGCGGAAATTTGGCCACGTGCCAATTCAAAGGGATTTGCCCTGCCAAAGATGGGGTGTATTCATGAGGTTGGTAATTTGCATGAAGCTTGCATGTAGCGTTATGTCCGCGGATCTGCCGGGTTGCTAACAGCTCTTTTGTTTGGCAGGGATTAGCGTGCTCTACGTGATTTTGCGAAATGTCCGCATCATGGAACACTTAGTCAATTTGGGGATGACACCTAAGTCTAATGCCACTCTATGTCCTGTAACATTGTACTGTTGCAAGGGCGCCCTCCATTTCTTTGGGGCAGCCTCTTCCTTGCGCACTGATCACACTTTCTGATGTAGGCTCTTACACCGGCATTCATACCTGACCAGAGGTATCGCTGCTTTACACAGGCCAGGGTTTTCTTCAGGCCAAGATGGCCTGCCTACCTCCTTCCATGCAGGAGTTACACGGAACTACCATTATTTGACTCACATTGCTGGTATAACACACCGTCTTTTATTGACAACTGGTCCCAGTATGACCAATAAGCCTTACCTACTAAGGAGGGCACTCCTTCCCTCACTCTTTGGCAATTGACAGCCACTTCAACGACTCATCCTCCATTTGGGCGTTTCTAAGTTCTTCGCTGCTTACAGCAGGTTCCACCATATCAACTTTGGCCTTTTTCTCATCTCTTGAGCTCAAGGTTGACTTCTGTTTATCTTCTTCTACAGCAACGGTAACATCAATACCAGCTTTATCACAATAAGAATCATCCGACACAACCTCCAAGCATCGTGCAAGTTGTCCTTCCGGGTTCTTCGAGTTCCTTAACCATACCAAAGAAGAATGGTCCATCCACACTTTGACCTTTTGACCATAAAGGTACTGGCAGAGGTGCTTCAAATATTTACTAAGCGATCAGGTTCCTTTGAGTGATGCAGTAGTTTCTCTCAGCTGAGCTGAATTTCTGGCTTGCAAAAGCAACACCTTTCTTGACACCGTCATGCACCTGAGACAGTGCGGCCCCTATGCCCTCTGAACTCGCATCCGTATCCAGGATGTACTCACTACTTGGTAATGGGTAGGCCAATACCGGAGCCCCTAGTCTGTTTGGATGTAAGTATACGTCTTGGTCTGAAAGCTCTGTTGGCAGGGCTTTTGCCCTTACAAAAATGTCCCATGAGGGTATCCCATGGGAAAATTTCCCATGGGATTACATGGTGAATTGGCCACCATGTAGCATGGGATGTTTACCTATGAAATTTTGCCCATGCATAATTCAAGAACCCCATGTAATTTCCCAAAATATTCCCATGGTGATTTAATTGTCATATCCCATGGTGATTTTCCCACACATCCAATGGTGATTTAACCATGCGTCCCTTGGTGATTTACCCTTGTGTCCCATTGTGGTTACCCCATTTGTCCCATGATGGTTGCCCCATTTGTCCCATGGTGATTATCCCATGCATCCCATGGTGATTTTCCCATGTCGATTGTCCCTTGCATCTCATGGTGATTGTTCCATGTCAATTGTTCCTTGCGTCCCATGGTGATTTACCCATGCCTCCCATGGTGAGTGTCCTGTGCATCTTTTGGTGACGGGCAAAGTTGCAGTCATCAAATCAACATTCCATTCCAAACTGTACTGTACCGTAGTTCATGTCAATGCATTTTAATGGCAGCAGCTAATGTGGTTTACAATACAACAAAACCTCTAAGTGTACCTGTGTAGATGCCATAGCAATGCAAATCCCAGTGTTCTCTTGATTGCAAAAATTGGAATAGTGTTTGTGTGGCATTTCCACGGTGTCCGCATACAAATCACATTGTATTCCCATGTAGAGTGTTAAAATCCTATGGTGTTCCCATGCTGATCATAAAAGCCCCATGGTGTTCCCATGCTGAATATAAAAACCCCAAGGTGTTCCCATGCTGATCATAAAAGCCCCATGGTGTTCCCATGCTGATTATAAAACCCCCATGGTGTTCCCATGCTGATCATAAAAGCCTCATGGTGTTCCCATGGTATCCACAAAATGTCCCATGGTGATCACTTCAACCAACATTATTTTTTTGCCAGTCCCATGGCGTACACATGGGGTCCCATGGGCAGCCCATGGGATGCCCATGGGATTTGCATGGGACATTTTTGTAAGGGTGGGCACCGGAAGGTCTGACGCGATTGGCCCGGTGCCTCATGACACAACTAAAACAACTTGTGACTCACAAAATAAGACTGCCTGTGACTCGAAATAACGACCCTTGGACACCTGACCTTTGTACAACAACAAAATGGTAGCTTGTTTATTCATCAAAGCCACTTCAATCATTCACATAACCAATACGCCAGTAGAGGGTGCTCTTAATGGGAGGACTGTGTGACAAGACTTTGCCTGGAGCAGTGAGCCCCACAATTACTTGTATGAATCTAGTGCCACCAGGACCTGAATAAGTCAATACGGCTATCCCACACCACTCACAACTCGCACTGCGAGATAGCGATCCACCCTTTAACCGACTGTAAGCTCCCACAAAGAACTCTTACCGCACCACTGAATAGCCCTCAACCCCCCAGCCCCTCAACGACACATGCACCACCTGGGACTAGGAACTAGCCATGCTAACGACCCAACGTACGAGGGTCTTACCTTCACGCCCATTCAGTTGCTTGCTCTGCCCAAACCACAGTTCAGGGTTTTTACAGCAGGATCGAACCAAATGCAAGGTTCTGCTGTAACACACACCCATCATGCTTTTATATACATGTAGCCTCGCGAGCTGGCTGCTGCCGCAACTACGCCTACGCACACGCGCTGCATGTGACCAAGCAGTGACTTCTGCAAGCCAATCGCCCTAAAATACATGTATATACATATACATGTATTTTATTGTGAAGTATAGTTATACTTGTATGTAGTTTCAAACTGGGTTTACACGTAGGTTTAGTTATGGTTACATGTAGATCCCTCAACTAAAATTAGCTTTTCTAAAACAAGTGTTGAATGCTAGTTTGTGTAAAAATTAAACATTTGCCACAACTGTAAAGAGCAACCCCAATGATAGTAAAAAAAATGGGGAATAGTGTTTAATATACTCACGTGGTATCTCAGTAATAAGTATACATGTACATGTACATGTAAAGTTGCACTGTGACTTCTGAATACATAGTAATAGTGCAATGAAAATACAGACCAATTCTGCAGGTGTTTCAAAAACTGTCCACATTTGCACAGTTGGTGGTGCCACGCAAAAATGCCTTTTTATTACGTACCGCTGTGGAAACAAAAATGTCATGATCTTGCTGGACCTGGTTTTGTGGGTATGTTTTCGTACACAGCCCTGCATGACTGAGCTGCACGACTTAGCCTGACACTTGTTTCGGAATAAAATAACAACATAAAACATTCAAAACATCTGGTCTCCTTCACCGCCTCGTTCGCCAGCAGTGGCCCCATCATTAGCCCGATCGAGATCCCATTTGGTGTGCACTCCGGTGGCACGATGGGTTCAAAGCGGTAAGGCTCTGTGCCTCGGACTTGGGACAGTATACGTGTAACTGTCACTATACATGCGTTACAATACAACGCATAATTGCATTGACGTGACCGCGCCGGCACATGCGCCGGCTCAGTGCGCACATGAGATAAAACTGTCGATAACGTCGTCGGTTGTCAAATTTGTTATCAACTGCAGAAGCGGATGATGCATATATTCGACGATATAAATTTGGCCGCTTACAAGTTCATTGAGAAACAAGCTGAAATGCAAGCTGCCACCAAGTTTATCATGCCATCGTGCACAATAAATGCTTACAAAGCCAATCGCGATATCGATTATTTAAACGGGATAGAATACGTCGTTAAACTGCCTTACACAGACAAAAAACGCATGTACATTAAAATAGATTCTTACACCTCTTTATTTGACAATCGAAAGAGGCCCATTACGTCGTCAAATATCGAGAAATTTATGAATAAAAGATGCGATGCTCAATCATTTATTTACCTGAAGGACGCATACTACAGAACCCATGGTTCACTGTCTTGCAGTGCCAGTGTTAGGTATACGGTATCAACGGCAATGTTGAAAGGTAGAAATGACAGAATCATTTCAAACAAATCAGCTTGCAAGCATTTAGAGGATTTGACCTTAATGAATCTGAATTTGAATCAGAATCTGTATCTGAAACTGAATTGGAAACACCCGTCAAATTAAAGGTGGATTAAACTCGAGAATTAACCTATTAATTAATTTAAAGAAGCATTTTAAACCTCAGTTATCCTCGAGATAACTGAGGTTAATTTTACATCCCTTAAATAAATAACGTTTTAAAAATGGACAATTAATTACCATCGGACAAACAAGATTTATTCATTTTATTTGACCCAAAACCAACACACATGAAAATTGAAGAAAAAAGCACACACAAATAGAATGGAAAGAAGAGAAGAGTCTGATCTCGTCTGCTGCGATTGTGGGCTAATACTAACTCGCATTTATTAAGACGAAGCAGAAAATGTGGGCGGTAAATATAATCAACGTTTCGTTTACAAAAAACCCAAATATAAAACGGGCAAAATGTTTAAAGAATTAGACGTTAAATTAACTGCGGAACAAGCTGGTCTCGTCAAACATAAAGTGAACTGAGTTTCAGCGGGTAAAATTTCCAGAGGTAAACCGCTCTGAGCTTTAATTGCCGTCTGTTATCAAGACGTGACAAAAGAAACTGCAGAAGCTGTAAAAGACCTGTGTCAAATCTCTGAGAAACATTACACCGATGCTGTCAAAAAGTTTAAACTTTATGAAGAACAGTAACATTTTTGAAAACCTATTCATAGTAAAATGGAGACACACACTTTTTATTTGACAAAAAGTGAGTGGACATTTGAATTAAAAAATCAAATCGATAATCTAAAGGGTGATAAAAACATTAAAAGTCAGAAAGGTAAGCTTCCACTCGGGTTACTTCAACATTACAAAATCCACCGAATTCGAATGGCAAACTCAAGTCGAAGGAAGTCCTGCTGAAAGGGGAGCCAAAGGAGTTAGAGAAAGAATATAACCGAGCTCTCGAGGGCGTGACCAGCCTGCTTCACTAGAGGCAACATCCATCAATATGGGCATTGTAGAAGCACTTCAACCTGTAATACCGTTATTAGAGCTATTAGAGCGGGGCAATCTAATGACAGAGACGTTCTTTATGTTCTAGCTTATACTTCTAATGCCCTGGTGATGCATCGCCTGCACAAGAGAGAAACGCCCACAGATTTTTTGAAAGGAAGAGAACGTGGTAGTGTAGTCATTCCACCAGGATTTTACAACGTGGATTGGTTTGATTTTATTTATTTTTATACCCGGCATGAGTTTCCAAGTACTTGAGAAGTCAAACTTGTACATATTGTGCACCACGTCAGACCCGAGCCAAAGTGCAAAGTCACTTGTAAACGATCAAATAATGAGTCTACATTTTTCGTTGAGAAACGAGCGGGGAGAAATCATCAACAATAAAGACGGCACAATTTTACTTGAGCTAGACATTTTTTAAAACGCGCAATTTATAAAACGTGTATTTTAAAAAGATGACGACAGACAATCAGTTGAATATGTACCCGGACTTGAGTGGGTACCAAGCTGAATCAAATGCGACAAAAGTTTACCGCCTTCCAAAGATCGAAGAAATTCGAGGACAGATTTTAAAAGAATGCGACGCCAGAAGATTTCTTACAAAAAGATCAAACGAATACTTACTGCGCTCAATTATGTGGAATACGGACTCGAAGCAATAGGTGCCATGACTGCCGCCACTGGCATTCCCGCTTTTTTGGGGTGATCACTGGACCCGTAGGACTTGTGATGGAAGGTGTCGCTATCGGTGCATT